AGTTAGATTTAGATTTAGATTTAGATTTAGATTTATATATTTATATTTGTATACATATGTTGATGCAGTTAGATTTAGATTTAGATTTAGATTTATAGATTTAGATTTATATACCTATGTAGTTGCAGTTAGATCTAGATTTAGATTTAGATTTATATACATATGTTAATGCAGTTAGATTTAGATTTATATATTCATATATAGATGCATATATATGGAGTTTCAGTTAAAATTAGGAATAGATTGAGTCTTTCTAATCTGTCGATATCCATTAGGGATGCACCGGTGACGGTCACCGGTCTAACCGGTAACCGGTCTAACCGGTGATCGGTCCACCAGTGATCGGTCTAAACCGGTGACCGGTCCACGGGTGACCGGTGTGAACCGGTGACCGGTTCACCGGTGACCGGTCTGAACCGGTGATCGGTCCACCGGTGACCGGTCTAAACCGGTAACCGGTCTACCGGTGACCGATGTGAACCGGTCACCGGTGGACCGGTTACCGTTACATTTGAATACTCATTTATGCAAGAATTACATAGAGTGCTCTGTTAAAAATTTTATGAGAACAAATACTGTTATTATTGGAAAAAATATTTCGGAAAGATAATTTGTTTTGTTAAAAAATCGTATAACAACAACGAAGTCAAGAAAAAAACGTTAAAAAGGATCGTATACGTCGTATATATTCATAAAGTTATACTGATTCTGGCATCGTAAGGCTCTATATTTTATATAAAGTAAGTGCCTAAGATTATACACGCTAGAACATTATAGATTCAGCTGCTATATAATTTCAACATATACAAGACGAAAATTTAATACGAAAATTATCAGAAAAGTATCATCTAATTACTCAACAATGCATAAATAGTCAATAATGGTCGTAAGATTCGATCTGCACTCATTTTGTGAAATCGCTTGAAAAGAAATCTTTAAAAAAACTTTTGATTAATAATTAAACATTTTCATGCCAAGTTTCTTAATATAGTCATTAAAAATTATAGATGGGAGGAGAATACTGTCTGAATATAGATGTGTCTACCATCTCGTAAATTGCATTGGTTAATTTGAAACAAACGTACAAACGAAATTTTAATTCATGTCTGATTATTACAAAATGAAATGATGTACTTTTTTTATAAACAGCTCACTTTTTATACATTTGTTAGTAAATGTCTTAGCAATTATTGTACTCTTTCTTTTAGATTTAGACTCAGACGATTTTAACAATTTTTCAACAATTCTAAATGCAGTAATTTCGCTCTTGGATCGAATCTTTGTCTGTTTATTATTTTATTTAATGTTTCACTGTTCGTTTGAGAAAACAGATGATTTTGTTGATATTAGATTTCCGGTTTCAAGAAAAAAGTTTTCTTTTAAATTTTACTCTTTGCCTCCTATAACTTCATTCTATTGTGTGATCTCTAAAATATTTTTTTTTGCCATCTATCTATACTCGATTATATATTATATTATTCTTTTCTAAAATATCATGTTTTTTAGAAAACATCATGGATAAACGTAAAAGAAAGAAAACAGGCAAAGCTCCAGTTCGTCAACTCGTTGATGATGAAGAATTTTTTGATGATTTACCAACTACAACACGTTCAACTATTAGCTTTTCATCATCGAATTCAAACAACAATAACTTCAATCGATTAACAAACAAGAATAACATATCTTCACCATTGAACAATAGCAACAGTGATAGCAATAGCAACACAGCTTCATCATTAAATAACAGCAATACAGCTTCATCATTAAACAACAGCAATACAGCTTCATCATTAAACAACAGCAATACAGCTTCATCATTAAACAACAGCAATACAGCTTCGTTATTGAACAACAGCGATAGTATTAACAACACAGCTTCATCATTGAGCAACAACAACAGCAATGATAGTAATACAACTTCATTATCGAACAACAATACCAACACAACATCATTAATTCCTGTTAATATTACAGGTCGTAAATCGTGTTCAAAAGTTTGGCTATGGGCAATAAAAAGTGCTGATGGTCAATCGGCAGCATGTAAATTATGTGACTTTACTTGCAGTACTGCTGATCATTCAACTTCTACTATTCGTTATCATTTAATTAAAGAACATGACAAATACGATTTAATTGTTAAATCATCAGAAGAATCCGATAAACCAAATATCTCGGAACATTTGAAACGGGAACTTCATTATTTATGTTATCGTGCTATTATTATTGATCAACGTCCATTTAATGACTTTCGTAAAAGTGGAATACTTGATATCTTCAAAAAAATATCTCCAGGTAATATTTTTTTTCTATAAACGGCACATCTCAAAACTTTTTCTTGAATAAATAACCGAGCAATAGAAAAAATAGATTTTTTAATACTAATATTAGTTTATTTTATCATTTGAAGAACAATAATACTTTTTTAAGTTAACATATAACAATAGTATAATATAATGATTGTGATAATATTTCAAATTTTTGCGTATCTTTAACTTAAACGGACATAGTTGAAAGGTAAATTATTTTCATATCTCTCCTGATGCATAGAAAAGATCATGTATTATTAAAAATGAAAGAAGATATAAAATATTCTTTGTATATAATATTTGCAATAGAATAGCAATAATGATTAAGTTAATCCTACTAATAAATATTAGATAATTAAACAATTATTTTTAATTATAGAGCGACCTTAAGTACTGCCATATATTGAATATGAAAACTTAACTCTTCAGTTGTTCGTTATTATAAATATGAACATATCGAAAAACAGATCAATCGAATAAGTTACCTTCTATATCTACTCATAAATTCAATTCTCTTGACTCAGGACATTGAATGAAACGATTAATCAGCTCCAATCGTATACTCAATCAAGAGAGATTTATAATATGTATAAAAAAAAAATTTCTATCTTTTATGGTTCTATAACAGTTCTGATAGTATAGACATATTGATGAGTTTTTAAAGTTGTATATGTTGGAATCAATGAAAAACTTAATCAAGTAATCAATTCTAATGATTGATTACTAGTTTTGTAGCGTGATTTTGTAGATAAAAGTATCGCTCATCAAAGTAATTTATTGAAATAGTAAATATTTTTCCGTTTCCGATTCATTTGACTCATAAGTATGTAATATTAGTGTTCAGTTGATATTATTCTACGTTAGAAGATTGTTAATATAATTGAATATATATATACATATGTAATTAATATTCTAGGATATACACCACCACACAGAAACCAAGTATCGAAAGAACTCAAAAATTTACATAACCATTACACTAACTTACTTAAAAATGAATTAAAACAAGTTGATTATATTGGTCTGACTTTTGACTTCTGGACCAACCGTCAGTCTATGTCTTTCTTATGCATTACTGGACATTGGTTCAAAGATCCACCTCTTGAATTTGTCTCTACAGTTATTGATTATTCATGTTTTAATGAACGTCATACTGCCACTAATATAGCACAAGTACTCAAAGAAAAACTAATGAATCTTGATATCTATCACAAAATTATTGCTATTACATGTGATGGAGCACCAAATGTAGTTGCAGCATTGAATCAACTTGATGATTTTATTAAACGAATTTGGTGTTGTGCACACAGGTTGCACATAGTAGTTATCAATGCTCTTGGATTCTGGAAGCAACTTGATGACAAAGATAATACTACGTCTTCATCAACAAATCCTGCTACAACAAGTATTACATCTGCAGATGTTACTTCGAAAAGTCAAGAAAATGTGATGGATGTCAGCTGGTGTGGTGAAGATCAACCAGGTAAATTTTGTTGTTTCATAAATAGTGTTATTTCATTTTAAATTTATCAGTTTTTCTTTTCTCTATCGAAATATGCAGTTTGACAGTGTAGTTTATCTTACTGAATAAATTTCACATATTTTTTTACGATTTTCTTGTGTTTAGCTGTCAGTTTACCGTCACTAAAGTTGATGACATAATGTGCCCTTATGATTTAATAGTCTATCGTTGATTTGTATGTAGAAAATAGCAACATTGAATGTAGCTATTAGCTAGTTTCTATGTGTTCATGAGTATTAGACAAGAATGTTATTTTTCTGATTCATAAAGCCAATTCTATATCTTCGACATAATTTTTAAAATTTTATCAAAAACAAAACTGCCAAGAGATGATATGTTCCACGATTTAAGTCTATAAACTTAAATAAAACCTGTTTAACATATAATAAGACGAATATTAAGACTCTTATAATTTTAGCATATCACTTATTTCAATAAATAGTCTATCGTGGAGAGATAGTCTTATTTTATAAAAGAAAAGAATAATCTGTTATAGATAAAGATTATTGAGTAATGTAAATTAATAAAAAAAATTCTATTTGATTTTTGCAGATAATTCATCAAATGTTGATACAAATAATAATAATCTAATTACGGCAAATGATATGAATTTATCTCATCAATCTGATAAAGAAGAAATTGATTTAATTGATGGTGAAGAAGATATTGATGAAACTGAAAATATTGATTTAATCGAAGATTGTTGGTCAACAACCATCGATACAACTGTTGCTACAACAGAAGAGATACAAATTATCATTAAATTATTAAAAAAATGTCGAAATATTGCACGTATATCCAAAAAATCAACAATTATATCTGCTTTTATTCGTGCATACAATCTTTTAGTTAAGGTGAATAAAACCATATCAATCGATTGCAAATCAAGGTGGAACAGTACATTCAAATTATTAGAATCATTAGTTTTATGTAAAGATGCAATTGTAAAATTATTTAATGAAAAACGAACATTAAAATTAACAAAAGATCAACTTGATAAATTATGTAGTATGGAATTGAACAGTCATGATTGGGATTTCTTATCATCATTGTATTATGTTTTAAAACCATTTTTTGGAGCAACTCATCTGATGTCTGGAAAATATTATCCGTCTATCGGACTTTCTTATCATGCAATACAAAAAGTGTATGGTTTTTGTTTACATTATCAAAATAATAATGAACAAATTATACGTTTAAAAAAATTATTATTGTCACAATTATACAAATATTTCTTTAATGATCCACAACAACTTGAATATTTACAGGTAAATATAAAACAAAATAAGAAGATAAGTAGAACTGATAAATTAATATCAGTAAATATGTAGTTTTGTCGCATGATTAGAACTTTGGAAATATATCTTCATTTTCTGCTAAAAAATAAGCATACATCTGAGAAGAAATACATCTATTTCTTCAAAATTCTGAGTATGTGATATAAATGATAGATTTGTGAGATCAAATACATACATAATACTTTTACAAATTTGCTCACTATATTTTATATTTATTTATTTTTAGTATCATGCTTTTTTTGATCCAGTTGCTCATAGAACTTTTTCTGATCTTGAAACACAACAATGTGAAAGATACGTGAGAAACTTAGTATTGAACGACACGTATCCAATAAAGCAAGTTTCAGCTGATACTGAAAAATCTTTATCTACAGCTGGTGGAAATTCGTCATACTCAACAACATCTAGTGAATCACAACATCCATTTTTATCATCAACTACATCGAAAGTGAAATCTGTTTATGATGCATTTATTGAAGCTTGCGAAGATCAAGAAATATCATACCAATCAACAAAAGAAAAAGTAAAAGAATATTGATTAATGAAGAGTTGAAATATTTTCGAAATGCAGTTCAAGACTTTAATTCAAAAGATGAACCATCTACAACAAGTGCTATTGATTTTTGGCGTAAATATCATTTGCAACTTCCTTATTTATTTAATTTAGCAAAAGTCCATTTAGCTGCATGTGGTACTAGTGTACCTAGCGAAAGTGCGTTTTCTGTATCGGCTTATACAGCACGCAAAGAACGCTCACGTCTTTCGCCCGAAAATTTATGCTATAGTGTTTTTCTGAAAGACAAACTTGGTAAATCCTAATCTTATTGTTCTATTTCATACTCGATGTGTTGATCAACATATAATCTAATAGTTCGTCATTGTTCTTGTTAATGGATTCTGTCATATCTATATCATTGTATTTATTGTTGTACACTGTATAATACCATATATATCTATTCATATTTATCTTGTTAATTAACTTCTAAGATAGTAAGCATAATTCGAAGTTCATTTATTTTCTCTATTTATTCATTCATATACTTATACGATGACTTAACGCATGCTTTCGACTTTTGTCTTTCATTGCTTTTTGTATGGAAACCAATTACATCTATTTTTTATTGTACTATTATTATTGTGTAAAATTTAGTATATATCTGTTTTGTTAAGAAGTATGCCTGTGAAGCTGCCTGATAACTTATCTTCAACTACTTTACAATAGTGAATTATTATTTTTCGTTTGATATTGTTGTATACATGTGATTTATTTTTTTAGTATAAACAAGTTTTAGAAGTTACTGTCGTGTTGAATTGTGTTTTTTTTTCTCTTGGACATTTATGTTAAAATTATTTTTTTGTACTATATATGGTTTATTAATGGTTTCCTACTACTTATGAATAAATATCGAGAATAAACTATTTGCATTAAAGTATTTTACCGATTATCAAAAATAATGAGTATAACTTTACGCTCATTATTTATCACAATAAAATCAACGTGAATTACTGAATTAAAACAAATGAAACATAGAAAGATTAAAAATAAACTCATATAAGTGCCAATTTCATCAAAAATAGTGTACCAAAATGTAAATAACTACTCAAAAACCTGAATGATCTACAAGAATATGACTAAAGATTTTGGAAATTTCAAATGCATTATACAATAGTTTTATATTCAGTTAAAAATGCTAAACTATCTAACCTAAACAGTTTTCAGATCTCTTATTACTGATCTAACTTAGGGACGCAACGGTAACTATAACCGTAGGACCGGTGTGAACCGGTCACCGGTCCACCGGTCACCGGTCCACCGGTCACCGGTGGAACGGTTACCGGTTCATACCGGTCACCGGTGGACCGGTCACCGGTTCATACCGGTCACCGGTGGAACGGTTACCGGTTCATACCGGTCACCGGTAGACCGGTCACCGGTTCATACCGGTCACCGGTGGACCGATCACCGGTAGAACGGTTACCGGTTAGACCGGTGAACCGGTGACTAACCGTCACCGTTGCATCCCTAATATCCATATAAATACTGATGTAGATGAAGGTATATTTATAATTCAATTTAGTTCTATTCTGATCTACTAATATTCTCTTTCTCGTAGAGAAGAGTCCAGTAAACATAAATTGTCTGCTTGCTTGTTTGTCCGCAAGGTCAAAAAAAACATTGAAAATCGATTTTTAGAAAAAGACATTTTTAGAGGTTTTTCCGTGCGGGGAGTTCGAATCCGAGGTCTGTTGGGTGACCATGGTTAGGGGTGGGTGGGTGTGGGTGAAAGGTAGAAAACATTGAAAAGCAATTTTCACGATTTTCATTTGTTCTTCCAGTAAATGTAATGGAAATGCATTTCAACGAGAAAGAGCTAAGCGAGTCCTTGGATGAGCGTTACTTGTTACATAATAGAAGATATGCATACGTGTCAAAATCACTTTTTATCAAGAGTAATGATTCTTTTGAAGTATTAGCATACGAGCATATTATCAGTATATACGTATAGTGGTTTTCGGTAATTTTCTTTCGACTTACTGTCGAGATGAAGTTTTTAAAGTGTAGAGAGTGACTTTTGTTGAAAAAAAGTGAAACTCTTCATTCATCACAGGTACTACTCTGTCACGAAAATAGAAGATCCTCACGTAACACACACTATCATTAATTTTAGGAGCCCGGCCTCGGGGCCGGGCGACGGGCGACGGAAACGTGTACACAGTAGGCCTCGAGCTCAAAAAGGGCGAGTGTATGAATACTTTATTCTTATCATGAACACCCTCACCCACACAAATACACGCAAACGTACACCTACGCCCAAACCGACCCACACCCACACCCACACCCACACCCACGCCCCCACGCCAAAGGTCAAAGGTCAAAAGCACATCGAAAACTATTTTTTGGAAAAACAGATTTCTAGAGGTATTTCG